ACTGGGCTCTGGGCTGGTCCTGGAGAGTGTCTGGAAAGAGTCCTGTGATGTGATCCATCTTCAGGTTCTGCAGCCAGTGGAGGTAGCAGGGGAGTGAAGTGGGCTCTGTAAGGGTCCTTGGTTGTATTTTGGTTTAGTGTGCTGGTTTTGTGTTGGTTGGCCTCCAGCTAGGAGGTGGTGCTTTCAAGAGTGCATCAGCTGTGTCCTGTAGAGAGGATGCCAACTTTCCCTAGGGAGAGCTGGTTAAGTATTCAGATTTCTCAGGCGGTGGGCAGGGCCACAGAACTCCCAAGAGATTCTGACCTTGGTCTTTGGCTACCAGGGTGGGTAGAGAAAGACCACCAGGTAGAGGCAGGGATAGGCGTGGCTGAGCTCAGCCTCTCCTTGGGTGCGGCTTGCTGTGGCTGCTGTGGGGGATGGGGGTGTGATATCCGGTCCAATGGAGTTATATTCCCAGGGGGATTATGGCTGCTTCTGCTGAATCATACAGTTTGCCAGCAAGTGGGGGGAAAGTCAGCGGTCATGGGCCTCAGCCTGCTCCCACACAGCCTGCAGTCCTAAAGGCCAGTGTCACTCCCACTGTGCCCCGCAACAGCAATGAGTCTGTGTCAGGGCAACCAGTGACTAGGGCTGAGAACTTGTCCCAGACCACCAGCTTCCCCGCTGACAAAGCAAGCAGACTCAGTTTTTCGGTATCTCAGGGGGCCTGCAGCAGTGATCCAGTTTCTTCAAAGGGTCTGTGAATTCTCTCAGCTATCCTGGTATGTTCCTGCAGTACTTCTTGGAGCAAAGGTTTACAGTTTGAGTCTCCACAGGCTGCTCTGTCCATCTGAGCAGGAACTTCAAGCTAGTCCTGCCTCCTATGTGCCATCTTACCCCCGTGCATTTATCTGAAATCAAAATACTTCTAATAAAAGTATTACACTCTTAATATTCCAGTATGAAAGTTCCTTTCTGCCCACATTAGAAATAATGTGAATCTTTACTAATCTGATAGGCAAAAAAGTCATCTCTCATCATTGTTTCAATATAACTCATTTTTGCGCTCTTCTGAAATTTCATCCTGTGGATGTGACATAATCAATTTTCACAACCCCATGTTATTCAGTGCGTTCCAATATTCCCTATTATCTACACGATGTGGATGGCATTTTTTCAGAGTCTGTGTACTGGTAGTGGGTGTAATCCAGGGCACAGTTCCCTTGGTTATTTGCTCTGGTGAGCTGAATGGGTCCCCTTGGAGTCCAACAACTATGTTGAGGGAATTGTAATATTGTGATAACAGAACCTGGTTGATGTAGGAGTGTGTGTGTGTGTATGTGTGTGTGCTGACAACCACATTTCCCTTTACTTCCTTCTGGATTCTTTGTGTCTTTGCATCTCATTTGGTTTCCCTTTCCAAATTCAAGCCCAAAAGTGAAAACAGGGAAATATGAGGATGGCAGTACTTGTAACCAGATCTTTATCAACATTCTTCACTAAGTCCTGAAGATAAACATATAAAAGGAAATGCTAGCACAAAGGGTGTGAGCCTATGTAGGCCTTGATAAGTATTGCTCTACAGACACTCATAAAGTAGTGCCATTTAGACTCCCCAAGTACAGGGAGGTGAGAAAGGCTATAGAGGAATGAAGAAAGTACTGACACTGACAAGGTACTGCAGAGGAAAGGCCCTGGACTCTGCGGTGGACACACATATTGGTCACTTGTCTATTTTTGGTTTTGTTGTCTTTTTAGGTCTTAGCCATAAAATTTTTGCCTAGATCTCTCTTTCCCTTCGGCGCGCCACTGAGGATCCTGGTGTCGCCATGGGCCGCTGCCCCGCCCGTTGTTACCGGTATTGTAAGAACAAGCCATACCCAAAGTCTCGCTTCTGCCGAGGTGTCCCTGATGCCAAGATTCGCATCTTTGACCTGGGGTGGAAGAAGGCAAAAGTGGATGAGTTTCCGCTCTGTGGCCACATGGTGTCAGATGAATATGAGCAGCTGTCCTCTGAAGCCCTGGAGGCTGCCCGAATTTGTGCCAATAAGTACATGGTAAAAAGGTGTGGCAAGGATGGCTTCCATATCCGGGTGTGGCTCCATCCCTTCCACGTCATCCGCATCAACAAGATGTTGTCCTGTGCTGGGGCTGACAGGCTCCAAACAGGCATGCGAGGTGCTTTTGGAAAGCCCCAGGGCACTGTGGCCAGGGTTTACATTGGCCAAGTTATCATGTCCATCCGCACCAAGCTGCAGAACAAGGAGCATGTGATTGAGGCCCTGCACGGGGCCAAGTTCAAGTTTCCTGGCCGCCAGAAGATCCACATCTCAAAGAAGTGGGGCTTCACCAAGTTCAATGCTGATGACTTTGAAGACATGGTGGCTGAAAAGTGGCTCATCCCAGATGGCTGTACATCCCCAATCGTGGTCCTCTGAACAAATGGCGGGCCCTGCACTCATGAGGGCTTCCAATATGCTGCCCCCACTTAATACTCACCAATAAATTCTACTTCCTGTCCAGAAAAAAAAAAATTTTTTTTTTGCCTAGATCAATGTACTTAAGTGTTTACCCCAGGTTTCTGTCTAGTACTCTTATAGTTTCCGGTCTTACATTTAAGTCTTTAATCGATCTTGAGTTGATTTCTGTGTAAGATGAGAGACAGAGGTGCAGTTTCATTCTTTTGCATATGCATATCCAATTTTCCCAATACCATTTATTGAGGAGGATGTCCTTTCCTCAACGTATGTTCTTGGTGCCTTTGTTGAACATCAGTTTTGTGTGTAAACATGTGGTTTTATTTCTGCGTTCTCTATTCTGTTCCATTGGTCTTTGTGTCTGTTTTCATACCAATACCATATAGTAATCAAAACATGATTACTATAGCCTTGTAATATACTTTGAAGTCAAGTAGTGTGATGCCTCCGGCTCTGTTCTTTTTGGTCTGGATTGGTTTGGTTATCTGGGTTCCTTTGCGGTTGCACAACAATTTTAGGATTGTTTTTTCTATTTCTGTGAAAAATGTCATTGGTACTTTGATAAGGATTGCATTGAATCTGCAGATTACTTTTGGCAGTATGGTCACTTTAATTATATTAATTCTTCCAGTCCATGAGCATAGAATATCTTTCCATTTGCTTGTGTCTTCTTCAGTTTCTTTCATCAGTGTTTTGTAGTTTTCCTTGTAGAGGTCTTTCACCTACTTGGTTAAATTTATTCCTAGGTTATTTTTGGTAGCTGTTTCAAGTAGGCATGCCTTTTTAATTTCTTTCTCAGCCATTTCATCATCAGCTATTTCATCAATGGTGCATATAAACACTACCGATTTTTGTATATTGAGGTTCTATCCTACAACTTTATTGTATTTATCAAATTTGAGAGGGTTTTGATGGAGCCATTAGGTTTTTCTAGATACAAAACTATATCATTTGCAAAGAGGAACAAATGCAAAGATATCCGACTTGGATATCTGTTATTTCTCTTGTCTGATTGCTCTGGCTAGGTCTTCCAGTACTATGTTGAATAGTAGTGATGAAGGTGAAAAAACAAGATCCTTGTCTTGTTCCAGTTCTTAGATGAAACGGTTTCAGCTTTTCCCCATTCATTATGATAGCTATGAGTTTATCATATATGGTTTTTATTATTTTGAGGTATGTTCTTTCGATGCCTAGTTTCTTGAGAGTTTTTATCATGAAGGGATGATGAATTTTATCAAATGCTTTCTATGGATTGGTTGAGATGATCATACGGTTTCTGTACTTCATTCTGTTGATGTAATTACTGTATTATGTTTGTTGATTTGCATATGTTGAACCATTTTTGCATCCCTGGTATAAAACCCACTTGTTCATGGCATATTATCTTTTTGATGTGCTGTTGGATTCAGGTTGCTAGTATTTTGCTAAGAACTTCTGCATCTATTTTCATCAGGGTTATTGGCCTGTAGTTTTCTTTTTTGTTGAGTCCTTGTCTGGTTTTTAATATCATAATAATGCTGCTCTCATAAAATGAGTTAGGGAGAATTCCCTCCTCTTCAATGTTTTTTCAGCTGTTTGAATATAACTTGCGTTAGTTCTTCTTTGAAGGTTTGATAGAATTCATCAGAGGAACCACCCAGGCCTGGGCTTTTCTCTGTTGGAGGATTTTTATTACTGATTCAATCTCATTACTTATTGTGGTCTGTTCAGGTTTTCTATTTCTTCCTGATTCAATCTTGGTAGGTTGCATACGTCCAGGAATTTATTTATTTCCTCTAGGCTTTCCAATTTGGTGGTATATAATTGTTTATAATAGTCTCTGAATGATTATTTGTATTTCCATGTTATCAGTTGTAGTGTCTCCTTTTTCATTTCTGATGTTTATTTGTGTCTTCTCTCTTTTTTTTTCTTGGTTAGTCTAGCTGGCGGTTTATCAATTTTTTATCTTTTCAGAAATCCAACTCTTTGTTTCATTAAAACTTTGTATATTTTTAGTTTCTATTTTGTTTAGTTTGGCTCTGACTTTTACTGTTTCCTTCCTTCTACTCATTTGGGATTTGGTTTGTTTTTCCTTGTTTAGTTCCTTGAGGTGTACAGTTAGATTGATTATTTGGAATCTTTTGCCTTTTTTGATGAAGGCATCTATTGCTGTAAATTTTTCTCTTAGCACTGCTTTTGCTGTAGCTCATAGATTTTGATATGCTGTGTTTCCATTTTCATTTGTTTCAAGTAACTTTTTGATTTCCTCCATAATTTTTTTTCTTGACTCAGTGGTCATTCTGGAGCATGCTGTTTGTTTAATTTCCACATATTTGTACAGTTTCCCAGGTTCCTCCTGTTACTGATTTCTACTTTTATTCCATTTTTGTCTGAGAACATACTTGATATGATTTTGATTTTTTAAATTTATTGAGACTTGTTTTGTGTCCTTCTACTTAACTACGTCTTACACCATTAAATAGAATACAGTAATAGCTATTTCAAATTAATGAACATAATACACATTATTTTTGTCAATCTGTTCAAAAGTATATTGTCTAAATATTCATCAAAATACTTTTATTCCTGAATACCAAATTTCAAATATACAAAAGCACATTTATGAATTGTAATTAATCTTCACCTCTCACTAGCTCAACTCCTACCTCCTGACCCAAAATGTCTGTTGTCCATAGAATGGTGCACACATTCCAGACATGTTTCTGTGGATGCGGTGCACATGACCATGTCCACCTACACATGCATATAATCTTTGCCAAAAAGTGTGATCACATTAATCATCTCCTTTTGCAACCTGTCTTTTCCATTTAATATTCTTCTGAGGATTTATATTAGCATCTTATTAGTTCTTACAGTTTTAACATAATCAACAAGTTCATTGTTCATGTCTATATCTATTGGAATTGTATGTCAAAATTAGTTGCCAACTGCTTTGTTACTGAGCTTGCCCTATAAATTGTGGATGCTAATCTAACATCTGAGATGTAGTTTGAAAATGTTTCCCCATTATTTTATAGAAATTCTTAGTGTTATTTTCATTTAGAACGTGTTTTCAACTTCAATAATATGAATAAGATATACACAGATTGTAATTTAAAAAGAAATACTGGTGAAGAACACCTTAGGGCGTGTGTACTGTCGGCCTTGAGAAAAATACGAGCATTGAGAGTCCTGGAGATATCAAGACAAAAATGGAAAAATACTTTAAGTAATTCTAGAGTTAGCTGCTGATCTGGAGAGAAAAGAGTTTTCTCCCCGATTTACATAAACTTTCCCAAAGTACCATAATATGAATAATGGTCAAAGTGATAGGTACCTTGAATAGCAGTTAAGATTAAAGGAGATGAAATATAAAGTGCATTTGCTTACAGTAGTTTAGTGTATGTTAATTTCCTTCTCTCAAGCTTCCCTGTCCCAAGGCCAATACTTGAGCTTCTGCCTGAGCCCACTCACTACTTCGAGGAGCAACCAACTCGTGTGGCCCTACACCCAGGTCTCCTGGCATAAATGGCGGGATTTAATCTTCTCTATCTTCTTCATCACCCAGAGGGGTTGTGGAGTGAGGATGCCTTGGTCCACAATAGCAGAGGGGTGGAATCTGACCATTTCTCAAGCCCTGGAAGCCCATCTTCTAAAAGGGAGGCTACTCAGGGCTGTCTATGGATGATGAGGGATGGAACCTCATTCCAATCCTACCACCTATCTGGAGAAACTTAGGCTCTGAAAGCCTGAGTTTGGCCATCTATGAAATGGGATTGACCATACCATCCTTACAGTGCTGTCCTGAGGGGTAAATGAGAAAACCTGTCCAGAGTATATGGCATAGAGTGGGACTTCAATGGCCTTTAAATGTTGGGACACAGCACTAGGGGATGGGTGAGCCTCAGGGCTAAGGAGGCATTGTGAAAAATCATTTCTCATTGTTTCTCTTTATGAGAAAACAGGTATCTAGTTGAAGAAAGCAAATGTCCCTGTGATATGCCTTGAGTTCAAAGATTTGTAGACAGTTGTTTCTGTACTTCCTGGGCATTATCAGAAGCTCATAAGAGCTGTTCAACATCATGCCCCTGAGCTGACCCAAATCCAGCTCCCCATGCTGGAAAAACAGGCATATCTTTGAATTCACCTGTTGAGCTCAGAAATCGGTAACACCAGGGTAGCAAAAAGTTGTGTTTGCCTAATGGCTGTTCCTGGACTGGTCAGTATGGTTTTGGGCTCTTTAGTTTTTGGTTTTTTTTTAAGGAAAAATTTGGACCCATACCGCAGTCACCAGTGCAGAGTCTTCAGATCATGCAGTACTCAGCCACATCACTTCAGGTTTTCAGTCATCTGCTGCCTCCCTTAGAGACAAAAATCCAATAGTTACTAGCAAGTCTTTGACACATGATATAGTTTGGCTGTGTCCCCACCCAAATCTCACCTTGAATTGTAATAATCCCCACATGTCAAGTGCAGGGCCAGGTGGAGATAATTGAATCATAAGGGCAGTTTATACCACACTGTTCTCATAGTAGTGAATAAGTCTCATGAGATCTGATGGTTTTATAAATGGGAGTTTCCCTGCAGAAGCTCCCTTGCCTGCCACCATGTAAGATGTGTTTTTGCCTTCTGCTATGATTGTGGGGCTTCCCCAGCCATGTGGAACTGTGAGTCAATTAAACCTCTTTCCTTTATAAATTACCTAGTCTCCATTATGTCTTTATTAGCAGCATGAGAACAGACTAATATAACACACAATTGTCCAGTTTTTAATTAGCTAACAACTAAATATTAACAGAGCCCAGAACTCATGCTATTCCATTGGAGGTACCTCATGAACCCTAAAGTCGAATTAACTGGGTAAGAAAGGAAATTAATATATGGGTGACTTCATTGTTTAAATCTGAGATGAGATGGTTCTTCTCATTAATTTTTAAACTTGATCGGGTTTCAAAAAATTGATGATTTTCAAAAATCCCTCCTTGGACCTCTCATCACCTATTCAACCACATGATAGAGATACCACTCCTCTCCCTCTCCCCCTCTCTCTCTCTGGCGCTCGCTCTCTGTCTGTCTGTCTGTCTCTCTCTCTCTGTGTGTGTGTGTGTGTGTGTGTACATATATGTGTCCTCTCCCACTGGATTCTCTCTTCTTCAAATTCAAAGTTCCACAAAGAGTTTTGTACATTCCTTGTTAATACTCTCCACTTTTGACTGACTCTTTATCCCATTACACTATGGATTCTGTCCCCAGGATCATCAATTAACACATATGAATTAAAACTCTTTCGAGGCCGGGTGCGGTGGCTCACGCTTGTAATCCCAGCACTTTGGGAGGCTGAGATGGGCGGATCACGAGGTCAGGAGATCAAGACCATCCTGGCTAATATGGTGAAATCCCGTCTCTACTAAAAATACAAATAATTAGCCGGACGTGGTGGCAGGCGCCTGTAGTCCCAGCTACTCGGGAGGCTGAGGCAGGAGAATGGCATGAACCCAGGAGGCGGAGCTTGCAGTGAGCCAAGATGGTGCCACTGCACTCCAACCTGGGCGACAGAGCGAGACTCCGTCTCAAAAAAAAAAAAAAAAAGAAAAGAAAAACAAACAAACAAACAAATAACAAAAAAACTCTTTTGAAATACCTTCCTTGTGCAATCAAAAATAACAAATGGAAAGTACAATATACTCATACTGAGCAATTGTGATACAAAATCAGATCAAGCTCTAAATGATATGCATCCCTGAACTAATCAATGGATTTGGGTAGTAGCCTGGACATATGAAAATCAACTCAGGGAATCACTGTCTTCTTTCACCAGCATGACCCAGTTTAGATTCCAGATAGACAGGGTAAGCCTACATGAATTACAGTTTGGATTAAAGATAGAAAATTAGGTCTGGGCAAATGGAAGGTATTTCATGTCAGGAAACACTGAGACATTATTTTAGGCTAGTTAGCTTCAGGGAAGCGCTAAGATTTTGAATTCATCAGGGAATAAAGAGGTTTGAAAAATGGTATCTGCAGATTTTGTTGGAGCTCCCCACAGCATATAAACTGAGAAAATGGGTGTGTCTGCTTCAGTGAGTCTGAGAGACAGTATAAATGACAAATAGGCATATATGGTAGGTCCCTCTATTAAGATGTGAATGTGTGTTTGTTCTCCTCATGTTTCTTCCTTTCTCCTATTTCATGAGGTAGCCAGGTATTTAGGGATGAAACCACGTCAGAAAACAATATCATATTTCACTTACAGATATATGCATATGTAATAAAAGTATAGAAAAATGTCTTAAAAATGTAAAACCTAAATTATACATTGTGGTCACCTGTGGGAAAGAAGGCAGCTGAGGTAATAAGAGAAGACTTTAAAGTGTGTTTGACTCACCTATGAAGGTTTTATATGTTGACATGAGTATGTAGAAGTCTGTTGTATTCTATAATTTTTTGTGTTACTTTAAGATTTCATAACAACCACTATTTCTCTGAGACTTAATTCTGATTTTAAAAAGATCCATACCAATTAAGAAATTCAGGGAAATATAATCAAGTCCAGATATATAATTAATCAATAACCCCATCACTGGTTAATTTTTAAACTTTTTTTTGTATTAATGCTCATTTCATTCTCTATGCATGCATATTTAATGTTTGTATACTAAATATGGGTTTCATTAATTTGAAGACTCAACATTTGCTAAAGATCATGAAAGCAGTTATTAAATGTACACACATTTTCTACCTGATCTATCTGACTCCAAAGCCCACATCCCTAACCACTGGGTATACAAGGAAAGATCTGGTACTTAGGACCCAGGTCTCCTGGTTTCAGTCTGTTTTATAGCAGACTCATCTTCATGCTCTGTCATTCGGTGCTGTCTCCTTTCCAGAGCTTAATGAAAAGCTGCTATTCCAATGTCCAAATGGAAGGTAAAAGAAGGTAGCAAGAAAGGATATAAAACAAAATGTAATGAGGGGATGATTTTCCTTCTCCTCCACTGCATTATCAGGTTACCTGTGCTACAAAGAAGAGACAGCAAAGCCCGCCGTCCCTCCCTCTCTCTCTCTCTTTCCCCCTCCCTCCCTACCTTCCTCCCTTCCTCTCTTTCTTTTTTCAGGGTCTTGCTTTGTTGCCCAGGCTGAGTGCAGAGAGAAAATAAATCAAAGTGTGGAGAGACTGTGACCCTGTGAAAAGAGTGTTCTGGTGAAGAATGTGACTTCAGGAGGAAGCATAAACCCACTGCCAGATGGGAGCCTATGGGACCTGGGGTTAGAGAAAAACTAAAGTAGGTGTAAGATTAGCCTGGGTTAATTTTACGGCTATGTTTTTTTCGGAAATATTTCTTAAGTAACATATTTTAGGAGCCACATTTTTATCATAAATGTATTCCACACTTGTCTTTGCAAAAGGTTAATATTGAGTCAAGCGCAGAATTTAAAAACTATTAATACCCAGTGTTAAAGCAAACTAAATATGACCTGAGAAGGACTCCGTACTTCTATATTTGAGTCCTTGTGGATGAACTGTAACCTAGCTTAATAGGCAAAATTGAAAACATAACTTCGGAGTATGTGCCTGTAACAATAGCTAACTCTTGGCCAATCCCAGCGGCCATACTTCAACCATTCGTGTACTGCGGAGTGTTCAAACTGGGTTTAAACAAGGCAAACACCAAGCTATAATCAATCCAGCCATTCTGTACCTCACTTCCAATTTCTGTACATCATTTCCCTTTATTGGTCTATAAATTTTTTTCCACCATATGGCTATGCTAGAGTTTCCATGAATCTGCTGTGATTCTGGGGGCTGCCCAATTCACGAATTGTTCATTGCTCAAAGTCCTCTAAATTTAATTTTCTTTTATCATCAGTATTCCTATCCTTATTGAAATTTACATCATGCTACTTTGTTTTTTTATACATGTATATAAGCAAATGTAATGGACACACATACATTACATTTTATATAATGGTTATACTATATATGGAGCTTGGTATTCTGGGTTTTTATTTTCATTTCTACTTCTATTTGAACTTTTATACAAAGTACTAATATGTGGATGAATCATTCTGATTAAATTACAAGACATATAATCTAACTTTGCCTTTTAATGAACCAGCTGACCCAACCCCAATTTTCAAACAATGCATCTGATTGGAAATGCCATATCTACATTGCATATTAAATGTAATATATATATATGGGTCTGTTCATGAGCTTTCTACAGACATCCTTTAATCTGTATGTCAAAGACTCCATCAGTTACAAAAGCAAAGTTTCATGGAACATTGCAATACCTGACAGTGTAATCCTGATTCCTATCATTCACCCTTTGGATGAATGGTGCAATAATAAAACAAAATAAACAATAATAAAAATGCCAGCAATTGTAGGATACATGATAGATAAATTATTTGCTCTAGATTATGCAACCATTGAGTGATAGTTCCCAGACTCAAATCCAAGTCCTTCTCACCCCAAAGCCCACACAGCTAACTACTGTTCCTATAATAAATGTCCTTCTGTGGTAGACTAGAGGCCAACAAAAGAACAGGACTCACTACAGGTCCCGTGGTCACTTTACAGGTCTGGCAACTAGGATACAGGTTCAATGACCCCCATCTTCTGTCCAGCTATTATTCTTTGCTCTTCTTTAATATTCCTTCTTTCTGGGGCTCAATAAATTCATTCACCATGTCACACTAGGATGAAAATAGGAGATCAGAAAGTACATGGAATCAAAAGAATAACGAGATACAACCAACATTCACTGCTTGTCACCATGTTTCCAGATCCTCTCGTTTCAAATCTTTTATTTTATGCAGCACAGATGTATTCTTCCAGGGCCAGCAATCTCTAAGAATGTACCCCCAAAGATACAATTAAAAAAGACAAAAGGCATGAAGACAAGGCAATTCATGGTAGAACAATTTGTAACAGGACAAGACTAGAAATGAGACAGATGTCCATCAATAAGGAATTGATTGAATAATCTAAGGTACATCTACATCCCAGAGTTCTCTGGAGGTAAAACAAGCAATGAGAACTCCCCCTTCTACTCCTTTGTAATGATTTTCAGCATATATTGTTAACTGAAGAAAGGTGCAGAAAAATGTGTTGAGTCACTGCTGTCCAATATAGTAGACATTGTCCACATATGGCCATTTACATTTAAGTTGATTAAACATACATGAAACTAAAAGTTCAGTTCCATTCAACACATTTCAGGTGTTCAACCGCCACAGTTGCCATTAGCTATTGTATTGAACAATGTAGACAGTATATTTCATCTCTATAGAAATTAAAATGATTTTTCTGTTATTCCCACATACAGTTTTCTATTCAGCATATGAAGAGTCTGGAACATCTAGTGGACTTCTGTATCCCTTTAACCTGGAATGCCTCCTTTTTCAACCCAGAGTTTCAGAACGCTCTATAGGGTATGCATGGGCCACAGCCCCTCCCTCCCACCTTCCTGCTCACCGATGTTCAAGCTGTAGTTCAAGCTTCTGTCATGAGGGGGGCGCCATTGTACCACCATTATAGAACTCTTCTGCAAAGACGTGTCTGCAAGGAGCAAAAAATACAATACTTCCCTTAAACCACAGCTTATGAGCCTAAGTGCAGAATGATTCATTCTAATTCTGTCAAAAAAAAAGAACAACTGGTAAGTGTAAAAGAAGACTGCAAATACATATATGGTGGGGCATCCATAGGATGAAACACCAGGTAGGTCTAACACTCCTTGGCTGTTGCTGGAAGACAGAATCTTAATGGATCGCATCAGGGCAGGTGAGAGGTGACTGAGAGAGGATGAGGGCAAAAAGGGCAGGTCTGGGAGGCTGTGCTTATAGTGTCCTGGAGAGGGGATGAGTGGGAAGCGGTGGTAGAAGGTCCAGGAAGCCTGTACAGGGGTGGATGGAGAGTGAACGAATGCCCTGCTGTCTGGAAGGGACCCTCCTACAGTGTGGAAACCTCAACCTACACTGAGAAGGGAAGAGATGAATCAGTGAATGTGATGTAGATTTGGGGTCGACAGCAAATGGAACTGTTTTAATATACACACAAATACTCCAAACAGAACTGGTATTTCAGTGAACAAACGATGTTATAACATCTGTTACTCTTTGTTAGATGTACTCCTTTTCCTTAAAAAAGAACAAAAGTGAAGATGGCTGTGATGTCTCCTAGTGGCCAGAGCCAGGATTGCAACTCTGAGAGTTGACTGGTGAGTTCAGCAGGGGAAAGGGAGGGATGGAGGTTGGGAGGTTGATTAATGGGATCAGCCAGTTTTCTGGAATTTTTGACGTACCTACAGAAATCCCTCTGTATCCATCATTTTTCTGGGTTATAAAAAAGTACGTTTTCTGGGATATCTAAATTTGAGATTGGAAGTACAGTGTCAGTCTGAACTGGGGATAATGCTGCAACTGTGAACTGTATTTGAGGTGGTAGAGCTAGAGGAGCTAGAACATACACACATACACACACACTCATGTGTGAGTCAATTCATTTTAAAAAAATCTACATTATTTCCCTAGGAAATTGAATAAATGAATGCCTAAAGTAAGGAATATATGTGTACCATACTCTTGTCAATATGTTCACAGCATATTGTTTTTAATATTTTATCAAAATACTTTTTCCTGAATATAAAATGTAAAACAATATATAAAAACACATATATGAATTGAAATTAACCTGTATCTCTCACTGGAGCAGCTCCTAACCCCTGACCCCTAGGTGTCTGCTGTCCATAGAATGGTGCATACTGTGAAATGTGTCTCCACAGGTGAGATGCACACAAATATGTTCACCTACACACACACACACACACACACAGACTGTTCCAAAGGTTGAATCACATCCTTATCTTCTTTTGCAACCTATTTTTTCCACTATTCTTCTCAGGATTTATATTTACATCTTATTAGTTTCTGTGGTTTTGGCATAGTTCATGTGTTTATTGTTAATGTATCTAATTATTTGACTTCTCCACTGAAATTATTTGCCTAAGTTCTTTGTTAGTGTGCTTCGCAAAGCATGAATTCTAACCCAGTATCTCAGCTCGTTTGCACAGATTTTTCCAGAGTTTTTACGCTATTCTTAGGTTTTTTAAATTTAGAATTTTTCAATTTAAATTATCTTCTGACTTAAAACCATATGGATCACAATTTTTTAAAAAAATGTTAAACTGCCTTGGAACATGTAATGGCAGTGCCCAAGGAGAATTAGATCATTCCGAGCCCAGGAGGCACAGAGACAAACTGGAGAAAACTTTAGAATAATTCAGAATTACCTGCTAATCAAGACACAACAAAGATATTTCCCTGATGTACAGAAACTTGTCTAAAGTACCCTGATCTGAATAATGGACATAATTCAGTGGGTATTCTTGTAGGTAACTTGAATAGCTGTTGAGATTAAAGGAGATGAAATATAGAGTGCATTTGCCTAAAGGAGTTGTGATGGTTAACACTGAGTGTCAACTTGATTGGATTGAAGGATACAAAGTATTAATCCCAGGTGTGTCTGTGTGGGTGCTTCCAAAAGACATTAACATTTGAGTCAGTGGGCTGGGAAAGGCAGATCCACTCTTAATCTGGTGGGCACAATCTAATCAGCTTCCAGTGAATATAAAGCAGGCAGAAAAATGTGAAAAAGAGAGGCTGGTCTAGCCTCCCAGCCTACATCTTTCTCCCATGCTGGATGCTTCCTGCTCTCGAACATTGGACTCAAAGTTCTTCAGTTTTGGGACTCGAACTGACTCTCCTTGTTTCTCAGCTTGCAGATGGCCTATTGTGGGACCTTGTGACTGTGTAAGTTAATACTTAATAAACTCTCTCTCTCATAAATATGCGCTCACCTGTCTCAAGGCCAACTCTTGAGCTTCTGCCTGAGCCCACTCACCACTTCAGGCATCAATCAGCCAACTCATGTGTCCCTACACACAGGTCTGTTGGCACAAAGAATGGGATCTCACCTCTGTCATCTTCATCCAGAAAAGTTGTTGAGTAAAGACTCATGGGGTCACAATAGCAGGGGGGTGGAATCTCACCATTTCTCAAGCCCAGAAACCCATCTTCTAAAAGGGAGGCTCCTCAGGGTCCTCTAGGGAGGGTGAGGGATGGAATTTCATTCAAATCCTGCCACTTACCTGAACAGGTGACTTAGGTAAGAGCCTGAGCTTAGTCATCTTTTAAATGGGACTGACCATACCATCCTTACATAGCTGCCTGATGGGTACATGAGGAAACCTCTTCAGAGTATATGGCATGGAGTGGGACTTAAATGGCCTTTAAATGGGACATAGCATTAGGGGCTGGCGGAGCCTCAGTGCTAAGGCAGGCATTGTGAAAAATCATTTCTCATTGCTCCCCCTTATGAGAATACAGACATCTAGTTGAAGAAAGCAAATGTTCCTGTGATATGCCTTGAGTTCAAAGTTTTGTAGACAGTAGTTTCTCTACTTCGTGAGTGTTATCAGAAACTCATAAGAGCTGTCTAACATCATGCTTCTGAGATGACCCAAATTTAGTTCCCCACACTGGGAAGACAGGAATGTCTTTGAACTTACCTGTTGAGCTCAGAGACAGCACCAGGGATGCAAGGTATGGTGTTTGCCCAGTGGCTGCTCCTGGACTACTTGGTATGTTAATATATTTATTGGTATATTCTAGATCTGTCCCAAAATCACCAGTGCAGGGGTTTTCAGATCGTGCATTAACCAGCCACATTGCGTCAGAATTTCAGCCATCTGCTGCCTCCCTGAGAGACAAAAATCCAAGAGTTACTAGCATTTCTTCACACACAATGTCTATTCTTTCATTAGGTAATAACTAAATATGTATTGAGCTCAAAACCCATTCTATTCCATTGGAGGTGTCTCATGAGCTCTAATGTGATACAAAAGTATGAGGGAAATAAACACGTGGGCAACTTCAAGGGTTCATTCTGAGACAGCTTTTTTTCACATTAGCTTTTAACTTGGTCAAGTTTCAAGAAATTGAATATTTTAAAAAAATCTCTCCTTGGACCCCCCTCGTCACCCATTCAGCTACAGGATACAGATCTCCCTGTCTCTGTCTCTCCCTCCCTTATCCTTCTTCTCCTTCATATTCAAAGTACCAAAAAGAGTTTTCTACAAGCTCTGTTAACATTTTTCACTTCCCACTCATCATCCTACTGCCCTATGGCTTCTGTCTCTGGGATTGCAATGAACATTCTCTCCAAAGTCATAATCCACCCATTTCTTACTAGGTCCAGGTTTCGTATAAATACACTAACATAGGGCATATTACTTTTAATGAGCTCCTACAGTATGTATGATTGCAGACTGCTTCTTTCACCTAACAACAGAGCTTTCATAGTTTCCCAGGCTCTAGAGCATGATGCACTGGACATAAGTCCAAGCTGTCCCACTCCCTAACTGTTCAGTCTTAGGCAAAGTCCTTAAACTCTCTGTCCCTTAGTTTTCCATCTGTAAAACTGAATTTTGCAATAGTATTTAACTCATAAGTGTGTTCTAGGTACTGAATGATCCAACACATTAAAAGCATATAGTACCTATGATATGTTGGCACTTTTAAATACTTTTCACATACCTTACTGGTATTCGTATCCCTGTAGCCATGAAAAAAAATTAGGGTATCAACCAATGTTTATTCATAATCAACGACATTTGGGGTATGATGTTTGTACATGTCATAGTTTCCTAGGGCCACCATAACAAATTATCACAAACTTTGCATATTTAAACAACAGAAATTTATTATCCCATGATTCAGATGTACAAAACCAAAGTCTGAAGTACAAAATCAAGGTGTAGGCAGGACTGCATTGCCTCCAAAGCCTTTAGGGGAGAATCCTTTCTTAGCTCCTCCAGCTTCTTGTGGCTCCTGCTTTATTTGGTTTGAGGTGGCATAACTCAATCTCTGCCTCAGTCTTCACATGGCCTTCTTCCCTGCATGTGTCAAATCTCCCTCTGCTTTCTTTTATATAGACACCAGTCATTGGAGTTAGGCATCAACCTACATTCAGGATATTCCCTTCTGGGAGATCTTTCACTTCATTATGTCTACACAGACCCTATTTCCAAATAAAGTTTGGGTGGATTAGGATTGGGACATGTTTTGAGGGGGACAAAATTCTACCCACTACAGTTAAATAAGCAAGTTACACCACTAAATGTAAGATAAAGTATCTTCTGTAT